CCTCTTTTCGCTGACTCTCTCCTTGCTTTCATCCCACGCCAGCACGGCGCCCGCGCCTCGTCGTCGACGTCCGGCTCAGCCGACCTGCTCATGGCCCTCTCTATTCCGCTGCCTCAACTGCAGCCTGCCTTACTGGCGCCTCTTCTCTCCTCGCTCGACTTTGTCTTTCTCTTCGCCACGCTCTACCATCCTTCGCTCGGGCCGCTGGCGCCCATCCGCAGGGCACTCGGCTTCCCCACCCTCTTCAACGTCCTCGGCCCACTCATCAACCCCGCACGCCCGCAGCGATGCGTGCTGGGAGTGCATAGCCCCGCGTTGGGACAGACGTTTGCAGAGGCCCTCCGAAGAAGAGGCACGCAAAGAGCTTGGGTCGTGTGCGGCAAAGAGGGCCTGGATGAGATTTCGTGCGAGGGAGAGACGGATGTGAGTTTTGCAGAATCCCCTCGGCGAGACCAGCACGTGCGGGGAAAGAGAGCCAGAGGCGAGGGCCATCAAGATAGAGAAAGGATGGCGCGCGACATGGGGGTGAGAGAAGAGGCAGGGACGGAGGGAAGCTAGTGGACAGAGTTCGGTGCGACCAAAGGGGTCCAGCAGAGGGGGTGGAGTGCTGACCTCGCCTGTGGACGTACACTCACCCTCGTGCCTTTTTTTGTTGCAAAACAGCTGTGGGAGCTCAAAGACGGGCAAATCCGCCATCGGCTCATCTCTCCTGCCTCCTTCGGCCTCTCCTCTCATCCCCTCTCTCACGTCTGCTCCTATTCCGCCTCTGAGAACGCGGCCATCGTGTTGCGCATGCTCTCCTCTGCCGAGGCCAGCCTGCCTTCTGCGCCGCTTTCGGCGCCCGAGGAGCTCGGCGAGGCGGAGAGAGGCGGCCGGGATCTGCCGCCGATTCCCAAAGGCGCGCGCCTGAGGGCACTGGCAGACTATACGCTGCTGCAAGCGGCCGCCCTACTGCACGTCGCCGGGCACGGCAAGACTCTGCCCGAGAGTGTCGAGTTGGCTCGGACGTCGATGCGCAGTGGCGCGGCGAGGACGGCGCTCGAGGCATTCCGGCATACAAGTCAAGAGGCAGTGGCCGCCGAGGAGAACAAGGTCAAGGCGCAGGAAGAACAGGAAGAGGAGCAGCGCAGCAGAAGAGAGGAGGACTTGAAGAAGGAAAGAGAGGGAGATGAATTCTACTACGCGCCGGGAAGAACGAGAGATATGGCCGTCGGCACTGAGTAGGCCCTGGCCCGCAAAGTGCAGGGCGCCGCGGGGGGAGGGGGCGACTACACATAGAGGCAGAGGCAAGAAGGATGAAGGGGTTTGAATCGATTTAATTCTCTCGCTCTCTCTCTCTCTCCCTCTCGAGCCACACCAAGCGTGTGGGGGCGAAGGGTTCCTTGCTTTTTCTCAACGACGTCTGCCGCTTCCCGCAAAGCTCGCAATGCCCTCCTTGACAGGTCCCAGTTCATTGAGCACTTCCGTCGCCGTCGCTCTTGCCCACACGGCCATTTCCTTTGCCCACTTCATGCCTCGCTCCTCGTTCGGATCCAAGGCGTACACAAAGTGCAGGGCGTCCGTGGCGCTCACCATTGCCTGGTTGGGCGCCCATCGCTCCTTCTCGTATGCGGCGAGCGCAAGCGGAGCTCCGAGGTCGCTGCCGAGGCGCGAGGCGCGGATGAGGTGCGAGGAGAGGCAGCGAGCATCGGCCAGGCCTAGATTGAGACCTTGGCCGGCGAGGGGATGCACGGTATGTGCCGCGTCGCCCACGAGGACACAGCGGCCTCGAATCAGCGACTCGGCGCTGGTCGAGCTCGAGGAGGCAAAGTGCAGGCCCGTGAGAGCAGAGAGGCGCGAGAGGCCAGAGGAAAGCAGCCCGGGAGGCGAAGCGGCGTAGTTCGAGGCGTGCGACATCTTTAATGGCCACGAGGCGACGCTGCCGGAATCGACGGAGACGACGGGCACGGGCACGTCATCGCCTGCGAATGCATCTGGCACGCCCGGCGCACGTAGTTCGGCCTCGAGCAGCGGCGTCAGATGCGACCAATCGATGGCGCTGGAGTTGGAGGAGGAGGAGGAGGAGGAGGAGGAGGAGGA